TTTTTCATGAAAAAGTCAGATTTCAAGCATACTATTAAAAGAGAAGACAAACTTTTGCATCAGAGAGAAAACCATTAATTGCTTCAAGCAGATTATTGAATGATTTTTTTTTTGCAATATCAGTATCAGTATTTCAATGTCCATACTACAGCAATTGCTTTTAAGTCTTCATAGACTTAATCCTCGTTTTCACCTTACAATGAATCATAATAATCATGGCTTGAGCTATGAATGGTAATTGTTTTCTCATTGTTTGTCAAGTTACTCAGAACAACTGGAGATTTGTTCACTAACTTCCCCTGTTATCTCCCTAAATTTGCTCTCATTTGACAGAAACCTGGAGGTGTTGAAGAACTGCTTCTCAACCATGTCTACAAATGACAAGAAGAATGGTGTGAAATGTAGATTCTGACTCAGTAGTTCTGGGGTGAATCTCAAGTTTCCAGTCAGTGCTGCTGGTCTGTCTGGATCACACTTGTGGAGCTAAGATCTCTGAAATTATTTATGGGCCACAACCTAAATAAAAATCCACCTGATATTTAAAAAATAAAAAGAATAAAGAAGATAGAAATTCAAGAAGAAAAAGTACAAAGAAAACTAGGGATAACAATATGGTAATAGTAAAAGGAAAAAGAAAAACCTTTGAGGGACAATAAGGCATTTCCCCCAGAAATAGAATGGCTGGGTGAGCGTCTGTAATAGGGGCCTGGAGAGGACAGGGCGAAGAATCTGCCTTTCAGTGATTTTCTCTGTACAACCTGTGGTCTAACGTATGGGTGGATGGGTGGGTGGGTGGAGGGTTGGGGGGTGGGCAGGTGGGTGCATAAACAGAGAGAGAAGGAGTGAGTGAGATTCTTCTCTGTTACAAAAAGTCCTGCAGAGGAAATCATACAAGGTGCTCTCTTATGTATACACTGCTTCAATTTTCATAAAAACCCCTTTAAAATATATACAGAAAGAGGAAAAAGCCAAAGCTTAGAGTAGTTTTTAAAAACACAGTTCTAGAACTGTCTGAATTCAGAGCTCCAAAATCCACACCTGACAGTCAAAGAGTCGGATGCAAGCAGAGGCAGATAGAGAGCTGAGGGGCACATGGGGCCACACTGGAGCCCCAGGAGGGCGCACACAGAGGGAGGACATTAGACAAGAGGATGTGGCAAGACACAGGACAGGCCAGAGCAGAAAAGGCAGGGGCATGCAGGGGCTGCCCGGGCTGCAGTCCGAGTGGACAATTCCTGTTCTGGTAGCAATTAGAGGTGACCCATTTGGCTGCTTGCCCTCTGCAGGGACAGGAATGGGGAGCGTTGTCCCCCTCATACTGCCAGGACTATTTCCATCACCTTCTGGCCCTGGCTAGAGTCGCCTAGTCTGCCCAGGTGGGGAACAGTTTTTCCACCTTCCCTGAACTACCAACCAGTAAGAAGTGGACTGCGGGACTCTGGGTGGAAGCTACATGAGCCTTAAACAAAGCACTAACATTAATCTTAAGTTTTTCTTTCTTTCTTTCCATCTTCTCATCGTCATTCTTTTGAACAGAGTATATTTTGATCTTTTTAATTTTCCCATTTGCGTAAAAATAGCATGGATGTTAAGATTAACAAAAAAATAAAGAACAATCTGGTCAGTGTTCTTCTGGTATTCAGAGTAGCCTCTTATTCTTTCATTCTTCTCCCTCAGTCCCTTCCCCTTCTAATCCATTTTCCACACAGTCAGCAGAGTGATCTAAACAAACACAAACAAAACCCCCTGCCTATCAGAGTGAATCACTCCACTGATTAACATCTTATTAACTACCCATTTTTCCTGGAGTAAAAATACACCTCTTTGGCACAACCTATCAGGCTCTGCCAAGCTCCCACCTCATCTTCACCAGCATCCTGATCCCCGTCCCTCCTCTTTCCTTACAAAGCGTCATGTACATAGCCACTGCTCAAAACTTACTTGTTGTATAAATGGATTAATGAATACGTTAAGGACCTTGCTATATTTTCAAATTTTCCTCCTCGTTTAGGCAAGAAAACTACCATGGACACATTATCTTGAAAATGCTCATTTTTTGTCCTTAGAACTGACAGAATTGCAAGGGGAGGGCTGTGGGGGGAGGATCTAGATGGAGAGGAGGGAGGTTGTTTGCTTTCTAATGCATGTGTTGGCAAGATCGGAGAGAGAAGATGCCCTGTAACGCTGCTGTACCTGCCACCAGACAGGGCACACCTATATCTAAACTGGCACGCAAAAAGGTGTTCAGTGCATTTTTTTGATGGCTTTTCTGACTAAAAGAGGCTTTCAGTACTAACCCCCCTCCCCCCACCACCTCATCCCCAGGCCCCCCAAGCTATAAGGGACCCTTTGTGATTTCTCCCTTACTGCTTCATTGAAGGTAGCTTTTGCCTTTTTTGTTGTTGTTGTTGTTGTATGTTTTAATAGAGGGCAAGTCAGCATATGGGTTGTCTAGGATTAGCGAAGTTCTAAGTCCACTTTAGAAGCGGACTTCTATGAATTATTCTAATTCATAAGTATTCCACTGCATGATAGCAAAGACTGTTTCCTTTCAAAGGCACTAGAAATTTCACTTCTTTAATATAGTGGCTGGAAAAGAAGTTTGTTCTGAGAAAAGCAAAACAAAGAATTGAGCTATGTTTTAATATGGGTAGGAATGCTGATATGTCATTGAGCATTTTCTGCTGGGCTCACTTGGCTTCAGGGCAGCATTTGCATTCTTGAGTGAACCCTTTACCTCCTGGACTGAAGCTTAGTCAAGCTCACTTGGCCCCAGGGTCTTGGCAGAGGGCGGTCTGGGAGAGTATATGACATTGTCTTCTGGAATAAGGTTGAGGCAAATGGGAGAAGCCCCTTCTGGCTTTCTTTCAAATGAAAGGTTCTGCCACTTGTTTTGCATGACTTTGAAAGTGTTGCATGAGTTAGCAATGTCAGCTGAGTTTTTAAATGGGGATTTTGATTTAAAATGTCACATATTTAATATCCTTTAAGACTTTTTTTGGGTCTTATTAAAATCATAGTGATTGTAGAGGTAGAAAATTTTCCCCTTCTTCCCTTCGATTTTCTTTGAATGTCCAATAATTAAGTTTACATGCAGCAGGGTAATAGGAGAAAAACTAATTTCTTGTGTATAGGAGTCCAAAGATGTGAGAACCAAAGACAGTCAGGCAGCAAAGGCTTGTGGGCCTCTGAAAGCCAAGGGGAAAGGCTGTAGGGGTCTGGGCCTTCAAGGGGAAGAAGAAAATTCTCAGTAAATGAGATAAAAAAAAATGTTGTAAACACTGGCCACACCGTGCAGATGCTCTTTCTGATACAAAAACTATTTCTGGTAATAACTCTCAACCTGTCGTGGCCCCCTTATCAAAATTCTTTTAGGCAGTTATGAGAGAGGTAAAAAGAAAACAAAGACACCTTTGTACATCTGCTAGGCCATGATTGTCTTCAGTTCAAAATAATCCACATGCCAAACTGGCTTATTTTGCAGTTATAGACTCTGCTCATCTCATTATTATACCTGAATAATCTATTTAATTATCACATAAGTTCTATTAGGTAAGTAGTGTTACAGTCTACTGTTTTTTTCAGATGATGAAACTAAGATACAGACATATTAAGTTTCCCAAACTGTATAGCCAATTAATGATGAAACTTAAATTTTGATATATGCCTCCCAAACTACAGAGTCCATGCTGTTAACAGTCATGAAATGTTCCCCTAAAATTTCTGGATCGCTGTTATCTTGCATTCCTATTCTGGCATTTGTGAGCTTCTCTCTATTGTCTTACCTGTATGATAGGAAAATATAAAAGATTCATAAGGTCGGCAGTACTGAAAACAAATTTCATGTGCTTTACAATACTGTTTAAAACTGATTCTTAGTGTAAAAATTGAAACCCTGGCTTGGTATCTGACTGTTGTATTCAAGAAAATGTGAATTATTTCTGGATCATTTTAAGAATAGAATGTCATTTTTATTCCTTGAGATCCAACCTAGGTAGAAGCACTATCCTCAGATGAGATTTTTCAACCCTAAACACTTTATTATAAAAGCAAAGCTTATCACCATGTTCTGATGAGAATATAAAAGCAAAAAATTATACTTTCTTTTCCTTAAGCTTTTATTTTATTTTTTAAAGATTTATTTGATTTATTTATACATACAAGAACTGGGGTGTGGGCCAGAGGTGCTGGGGGTGAGAGGATTCACCAGAGACAGAGTGGGGAGCAGAACAGGCAGATCGACGAAGTACACTGCTGAGGGGAGCAAGAGGTCTGCTGTGCCATGGGGTTAAGCTCCCTGTCAGGGAAGGAGCTCATGCTGTTATAGCTTGATACTCTTCTTCCCCCTCCCCAGCATAATGCCTCTGATCCATAGTTGTCTGTTTATTTGTTTTGTTTTATTGTTATTATTTTTCCATAATGCCTTATTTGGTTCCCCTGTATTCTTCCTATAATGAAGCCATCTGATATTTTTCTGACTTTTTTTTTCTGAGCATAATCCGTTCTAGTTCATCCATGTTGCTGCAAATGGTGTGCATTTATCTTTTTTATTGCAGAGTAATATTCCATTATATATACTGTATCTTCTTGGTCAGTTATCTATTTGGGGGGCATTTGGGTTGTTTCTTAGACTTACCTCTTATAAATAGTAAGGCAGTAAACATAGGGGTACAGGTATTCTTTTGAATTAGTGTTTTTGTGTCCTTGGGTATATCCCGGTACTGAAATTGCTGGTCATGATGTAAACCATAATTTTTCTTTTTTTTTAAATTGGATGATCTCTATGTATTGATGGCCACATATCACTATCTCTTTCACCAAGTTTTTATTTCTGTAGCTAGCTGTTAAAAAGCATTTGTAAATATGAAACTCGTAAATCAATTTGGATTTTTCCCAAAAGCAGGGAAAAATACCAAACAAAAACTCTTCAAATACTTTTAGTTGGTGTTAGAAAAGTCAGCATATAGTTTGATTTCACACCTGCTCTTTTTTTCTTCTAGAAAAACCGGTCATTGCTCAGCCAATGTTTGTGTTTGAAAAGAGAGAACAAACTTTCAAGGTAAGATCTAGCTGACTTTCTTGGCATGATTTCTATTTTGTCAAGGAAAATTGTCTTTTAAAAAGCCATATGTATGCTATCTATTCATATCTATCCTGAATGGTATCACTGCTCTGTAAGTTTATCCTCTTGTCCTTACCTGCAGGATGTTTATATTGTTGGGGTTACTGATCACTGATTGGCTGAAATGGGAAACCAGAGACCTTGTCTTGAAGCTATGTCATTGTCACTGGAATTATATATATATGTCTTTTTGGAGTGCCTTGGAAAGGGGAGGGACTGACAGCCTTCAGAGGGCGAAGGCACCTCATGTGTCCCACCATCACTTAGTCTAACACTGGCTACAAAATAAGCTCTAAACTTACCAAAGTGACATTTGGTTTAAAAGGTATTCAGGGTTTTTTTCCAGGTTTTACCTATTGTATATAGTGCCGCAATAAACATAGGGGTGCATGTGTTCACTTATAGGAGGACTATCAGAGAAATAAAACATGGCGGGGGGAGGGGACATGTATTGTTATTACCACACAAAACACAATGAAAATAGACAATTATAAACCAGAGCTATCCTATAGGGGAGGGGTCAGGGGAGGGGGGACAGAGAGGGATTAGAAGGAGGAAGGGAGGAATGTGGGCAACTATGGAGATGATGGGTGGGTGAAGTAGGAAAGGGGAGAAGTAAACATGGTTTAAAATGAACAATAATACAAATAGATACATAAAGTAATAAAAAATAAGGGGAAAAGTTAAAAAAAATAAAGAGAAGGGATCTCAGGGCTCTGGTTTTTCAGCATTGTATTGTATCACCTACTCTGAAAGACAAATGATAAGATTCATAGAGTTCTTCTGTTAGCTTAATTAATATTTTCTTATAATTCATTCTTGCCTATACAGGTAATTTACCCTTCTACCCATAAAACTAACTGCAGGAAATGCTCAACCCCCAAACCTTTGTGAAAAAGCAGCTTCCTGGTCCCACCCCAGGTGTTTCAAAATCTTCATTCTAAACAAGTCCTCACAAGAGATTCTGTAGTTGCTGAAATATAAAACTGCTGTGCTATTTCTTGAATTTGAGCCCAGCGAGTCAAAGCCAGCCGCTGCGTCCTGGCCTGGCTGAATAGACCCAGCGTCTGGTCTTCTCACTAATGAAATGACAGTGAGGAAATATGATATAAATACAGCCACTACTCAGCTTCATTGGCAGCTTTGTTTCCTTCCAGAGACCTGCAGAAGACACCCTGTGTGAAGCAGCAGAACATGGTAATAATACTTTGTATCTTGCCTTTCAAAATCAATCTTAAGGAAAGTAAATAGGTGCAAGCATTTTGCTATGTGGCCTGGACTGTGCAAAGTTGAGCATTTTTTTTGTCTAAAACTCATAAATAGGGGCCTTCCTGGTGGCTTAGTCTCAGTGCTACCATCCCCGGCCAGGGAGCTAATCTACACACAGTGCAGCAGATGTCTCCTGTCTCATCCACTGCTCCCCTCAGCAGTGTGTTTCAGTAGATCCACCTGTTCTGCTTCCCACTCTGTCTCTGGTGGAAATTTCAGTTCCCCACACTTCTAGCCTGCACCCCAGTTCTTCCTATGAATAAATGAATAAATAAATAAACCTTAGGAGAAAAATAAAACACGCATAGATTTGCTTTTGCTTTGGAAGATGACATGCGGGTCCCTGAACCCCCCATGTTAGCAACACTAACACCCCATAGATTCCCCTACCTGTCTCTCAACCTACTGAAAAACGTTCTCTGTAACCACCTCAGAATGAATACAATTTCTTGCTACAGGCACTCACTTCCAGTTGTTTCCTAAAGGGCTATGTGCCTCTTGGTCTGTAATCCCTGAGCAACCCCACTGTTGGAAATTGTGCTTCAGGAGTTAGCATGATATCAAATGACGATATGTAGACAAGATTTCACCTCCTCTGTCATGGGTTCAGATAATTTGCATATTGCAAGCCGTTTTACCCTCCACATTGCATTTCTTGCAGAGTGGAATGGTTTTTCAAGAAAGCGTGTTCGGTCTTCATCTTTTACTCTACGTACTACAGATTCACAGTCTCGAGGAGGTAGGTATCTACTTGCCGGGGCTGTTCACTGCTGCATTTACTCTGAGTGTGAAGTCACAAAAAGACTCCAATGGATAGCATCTAAAAGTCTCATCACTGGCTGTTGTTTGTAACACCTTGTTTTATGAGGCTGAGCAGTCTATGAAATAGATTGTACATGAGTCACTTTAAAAACTCGTTCCATCAGCACTGGAAAAGAGATAGAAGATCTCAGTCACATTGTTTAATGGTTTCCTTAGGTTGTGGGGCTACAAGAGATTTGGGTTCCCTCTCCCTATTCTGTATTTTGTGGTTTTCCCAAAGTTCCTGCGTTGAGTATATACTGAGGTTGTAATTGAGGGAAACTGCCATTTTCCCCAAAGGAATCACTTTCTCAAATATACAGATGTCTTCCATTTAAAAATACACTTTAGGTCCTCCTGGTGGCGCAGCGGGTTAAAGCGCTGCACTGAGAAGCAAAAGCCACTTCCGCATGAGTTCGATTCCCGCCTGCCCCGGTGGTGACCACATGGCGCGGCAGACCTCTCCTGACCTGCCCGCTGCTCCCCTCAGCAGTGTACTTCGTCGATCTGCCTGTTCTGCTCCCCTCTCTGTCTCTGGTGAATCCTCTCACTACCCCTGCACCTCTAGCCTGTACCCCAGTTCTATATGCATAAATGAATAAATCTTAAAAAAATAAAATACACTTTATGCTAAAGACCTTTTTCATATGTGGCATTCTAGGCATGCTAAGTAAATTAGTGACTTAGTTTCACGATGAGCCCTTTGGTAACAGATTCTGTTGCCCTCTGCCTGGTGCCAGCTCTCTGTGCTCCTCTGTCTGTCTGTCTGTCTGCTCCTCTACAGCAAGCTCCTTGAGGTAGTGTTGAATCCTCATAGACAGTCTGACCCATATGGTGAACACTTGAATGTTTATTGAATTGAATGGAAGTGAACCTGAAATCTTCGCTAAGACACACTTTATTTATGAAAATACAGTTTTTCTCAATTAGTGAGACAGAAAATTTTCCAAAACAACAAAAATCCCAATCAAAAGAAATACAAAACCTTCCCCGGATTGACTCCCCTTACTGACTATAGTTTGCTATCTGCTTTCTAGTGTTCACCTCATCCCAGAAACGAATGCGATCTTCGTCCTTCACTGACCTCCCCATCTTCCCGCCTTCTGGGCCAGGTAATGAAACAGTTCTAGAACATGAGCTCACTTTCTCAGCTACCATATAATTCTGACATTTTAGTGGCAAGTAAAATAGAGGGCCTAAGTATGCATAGAAAAATACCTTGTGAATCTCAGCTCCACTGTTCCAGACAGTATAGCTGCCTTTTTTTTTTTTTAAGATCTACTTATTTATTCATACAGAACTGGGGTACTGGCCAGAGATGCGGAGGGTGAGAGGATTCACCAGGGACAGAGTGGGGAGCAGAACAGGCAGATCGACGAAGTACACTGCTGAGGGGAGCAGCGGTCGTGTCAGGAGAGGTCTGCCGCGCCATGTGGATCTCCTCCGGGGCAGGTGGGGATTGAACTCATGAGGCAGTGGCTTAGGCTTCTTAGTACTGTGGTTTAACCCGCTGCGCCACCAGGAAGGGCCAGCTGCTTATTTTGGTGGAAAGTTTAAACTTGATATTTTGTTATATAGTTTGTTATTTTGCATAAGGAACCACTACAGAAGGGCTTTTTTTAATATATTATTGTCCATCTATATTGTTTATAGTATATATTTTACTTAAAATTTGTAAGCTTTTGATTTCTATTCTAAAATTTAGAATATGGGGGCCCTCCCTGGTGGCGCAGCGGGTTAAAGCACAGCACAAAGAAGCTTAAGCCACTTCCGCATGAGTTGGATCCCTGCCTGCCCCAGAGGAGATCCACATGGCGTGGCAGACCTCTCCTGACCCTCCCCTCTCCCCCCCCCCCACGCTGTGCCCCTCAGCAGTGTACTTCGTCGATCTGTCTGTTCTGCTCCCCACTCTGTCTCTGGTGAATCCTCTCACCCTCCGCGTCTCTGGCCTGTACCCCAGTTCTGTATGAATAAATAAATAAATTTTTAAAAATTAGAATATGATTCTTTTTTAACTTTTTACAACTTAAACTTTACATCATTTTATTTGAAATTTGCAAAACTATCTTATAATAAAATATTTGAAAAGATTGTTAAAAAGCTTACTGCCTTTCCAAGGTAGGCTTGCCACTAAGAAATAAAAAAATACTATTCATTTCTATTTAGCTGATCTCTCTCTACTCAGAGGAACCAGAGTTTTCAAGCTAATGAACCAGCATGATGGTTACATTTACTCTCTTTTCAAGTATCATTAAGAGTGAAGAGAGGCATATCACCTGTTAATAGTCTATATAATATCATTTTAAGAAATCTGTAACAATGCACACAGAAGTTTTATTACTAATTCAAATATATAATCTGTAGAGTTTCTCCCAGTACTCTAGTCCATGATTTTAAATAAATGAGAGTGCCTGTTCTATTGATGACCTAATTTCCACTTACATTTCTGAGAGTAAACAGAACTGTGCACCAGAACTCACACTGTCCCCTTACAGCTTTAGAACAGCTGTAACCATGTTTCTTGATTGCTAGCGCCAACAGCGACATCTACTGGTGACGTTAGTACAAGACCGTTACTCAGATTATTTTTAAATTTCTCAATTTTTTTTTTTTTGCAGTGAGGAAAAACAATGTTTTTATGACATCCACTCTTGTGCAAAGGAATGTTGATATAAATAGTGAAGAACAAGGTGAGTAGCTTCTCTATATTACAAGATTTTCAGATTTCTTACATTTACCATCTATATTTTAATCTATGTATGTGTATATTGGTCTGAGTGACTAAACACATTTGAAATGTGAATCAAATCCCATGGTAAAAATGAATACTTTTTGGGTAAACGCTAGGCAGGAACAAGTCATAGCTGACTTATAGATTATTTTGACTTTTATGAGTTAACACGATCTTATTAACGGTGAGTTTAGAAAAAAAAAAGGATCAAATGAGTCAAAAAAAAACAAGGAGGGAGAAGTATTTCAGCAAAAATATATTGACCCTTTAATTCTGGTGTTCTCAGGTCCTGTGAAGCATTCTGGACATTTTCTGAGACCTGCTAAATTACAAGCCCCTCTCACTCAAAGGTGTGAAAAAGTAAAAACATTTAGACACGAAGCATTGGAATCATGCGTGACTAAAGAAAAGGTAAGAAAATCGATATGGTAGGACAGACCTCAAACGCGCCTTCTCCTTTTGGTGACTGTTGAGGACTCCCACATCCAGAATAAGGGGCTGCCTGATCTTTGTTTTTTTGCTAAGGACGGTGCCAGGCGAGGAAGCAAAAAACCATTGGTAATCTTATAAAATGTGTCCTATGAAAATGGAGAAACATTTCTTGAACAAGTCTTGTGGTGTCTTCTAAGTTATAAACCATAAGTTCTACAGGTCATGGAAACCCTTGGGGGTGTCAGTGCAGTTCTTGGTCCACTGTGAGAATAGGTGGGATGTGACTGGGGCTAGGCTGGGTTTGCCTGCCTGTCATTGGTACAAAGCCAAGGAGCAGAGACAGGTCTTGAATCTATAAGCACTTTTATTTTTCAGATCACTGGCCACTGATCTGACAGAAGAGGGGGCAGAGCATCCTGAAGAGACTGTTCTCTCAGGGCCATAGATATGAGATAGCGGATGCCATTCTGCCGTCTTATCTCGAGCTGGCCTATTGAGTCATGAGCAAGCCGCCTATCAGAACAGCCTGTCACAGCTGAGTCAGTTTTTCAGAACAGCCCGCCATAGTTGTTCTTGGTATTGGTCACATCTAGACCCTACAGTTTGTTCTCAGCTTCTTGGTTATCTCAACCCTGGTAGATCTGATGGTGTCAATGTCCAGCAGTCCTTCAGGGGTCACTGGGGCAGGAGTCCCAGTTTTTTGTTTTTTTGTTTTTTTTTTTATTCGTACAGAACTGGGGTACAGGCCAGAGATGCGGAGGGTGAGAGGCTTCACCAGAGACAGAGCGGGAAGCAGAACAGGCAGATCAACGAAGTACACTGCTGAGGGGAGCAGCGGGCGGGTCAGGAGAGGTCTGCCTCGCCATGTGGTCACCTCTCGGGCAGGCGGGGATCGAACTCATGCAGAAGTGGCTTAAGCCTCTCAGTGCAGTGTCTTAACCCGCTACGCCACCAGGGAGGGCCAGGAGTCCCAGTTTTAAAGAAAACAGTTCGTTAGTCACATAGCTCGGTGTGTATGTGAGGATGCCTATGCTGGGTCTGGTCCCCTGCCATCCTCCCTAGCCCCTCTTTCCTCTTGGTAGTAGGACCTGGGGCATCAGAAGTGAAAAAAACACAGGGATTTTCTTCATCTCCAAATGCTTGAGATCCTAGGCAGACTCTGTCAGTTTAAATCACACCAGAGGCCTCCCTGGGGGTGCAGCAGGTTGGAGCGGCTGCACTGCAAAGCTAAGCCACGCCATGGCCATTTCAGTCTGAGTTCGATCCCCGCTCCAGAGGTGACCCACATGACATACAGACCTCTCCTGACCCGCCCACTGCTCCCCTCAGCAATGTACTTTGTCGATCTGACTATTCTGCTCCCTGCTCTGTTTCTGGTGAATCCTTTCACCATCTCTGGGCCTCTGGCCTGTACCCCAGTTCTGTATGCATAAATAAATAAAAAAAAATCTTAAATAACTAAATCACACCAAAATTTGCTCTAGACCCATCTCGATGAATAACAGGAGCAGGGAACTGCCTACGTAGTGTAATTGGAGAGCTTGGGATGCCTCTGGAGACAGATAAGAATTCCTTACTGAAGCTGTGGTAGTGTGTGAATCCCTCACTATGGACCTTTCCAAGGTGGTATCCGTTTTTCTTAGGCCATACACTCAGTGGTTTGGGGATATTCTGTTGTTACCATTCTAGCTGAGTCTTCCAGAAACAGACACTGGAGTGGAATAGTACCCAAGGTCAGTAGTTTGGAATTTGACAGTTATTCCATCAGTCATTTGTTTCCAGCTAAATTATTGAGGTTGAGGCCATCTAGTTTTGCTTTGTTTTCCCATACTGACTCTAAAGGCAGGGGCAGATGAAGTGTTAAAAGAATAATCATTTCATAATTCAGTGTCAAAAATCAGATTGGTACTATTCCTATCCCTGGCACGATCTAACCATGTTTGTATTCTTGACAAACCATCCAATCTTCTTTGTTTTACCAGTGACAAAAACTGGTCAAACCTGGTCAGCAATTGCCAATATTTCATATTTCCAAATCTTTTTCTTTAAAAGTTTGACTTCATGAGACCAACTATGAATGTATAAGTCATTTCATTATTTATGCTGTGACATTTGGTATAAGACAAGATTTTTAAGTAAAATATATTTTCAATTTCAAACAATATAGTATTAAGTCTTCAATTAAATATAATCTAACAATCACCAGTATATTACATTAGTGCTTTTACCTATTTAAGAAATTATGCATGATGTTTCACTTGTTTTAAAATACGTAAGAAAGAGCATGATGTTGATGAATTTCTAAAATATTACAATGACTTTAGAACAACATGTACTGTTGATTATAGATTAAATTATTATCCCAATCTATGATATCAAAAGCAAGTTAATATTTCCTCTGGCATTTTTTTAAAAAATTGCATATTTTAAAAATAAAATTATTAAAAAAATAAAATTATTAATGTACTTTTTGTGTTTTCTTACTAAAAGATAATACATAACAGAAAACTTCGTACTATTGTTTTCCAGCATTTCTTCTTGCATAAGTTACTAAAGGTATGAGTAGAACTTATTCCTAATTAGCAGAAAGCCTAATTGGATATACCTATTGCTGGCTTATGAAAATCCAAAGACAAAATACTATGTAGGAATTCTGAGAAAATAAATCTAATTTACAGATTTAGCAAAAATTACCTAGAGGTGAATTTTATGGACCTGATTTTATGTTCCTTCTCCACTTTAATCAATGGTCACTTATTGCATATAAATTAAGAAATATACTTAAAACCATTGTTTGCTACTGAAGAGTGAGGACAGAGAGAAATCATTTGAGCGAGCAGGAGCAGGTCCTGAGGTCTGTCCCAACCAGGCACATGGTCACCCAAAACATAGTTGTGAGCTTTCAGATTCTGTTATAAAGGCAAAATTCCTAACATTGCTTTTACAGTTTGATGTAAAAATTAAAGTGAAAGCAGATCTTTCTAAAGACATATGAACTCCCTGCAACATCTTTGCAAATCCCTGCTCAGGGAATTAAGTGTCCACAAAACACAGGAGACAGTAGCTCAGCTCATTTATAGGGTTCCTGCCAGTTCTAAAATTGCTCACTTTCTCCTTTCTCTGTCACAGCAGATTACGTGTGTAAATGCACTCCAGACCAATGAAGTTATTGGTCAAAAGTTTCCAGATGATGAAGTTTCCTCTGGTACTGAACAGCTTTGATGGTGAAGCTGTTAAGGGTGTTTCTAGGCATTAAATAGTTTGGAAAGACTGATTTTCTAATCTAGAAATAGGAATGACTCTCCATTTGGTGAAAAAGATAAAAACAAGTGGAGGTAAGATATCTGGATAGTCGGACTGTCGTCAGACAGGTTCAAATGTCAAGTCCATTCCTGGTTGCCGTTGCACACGCCTGGGCAAGTTATTAAGGCTTTTTAACTCAGCCTACTCATCTGGAAAATGTGGATAATAGAAGTACAGAGTGTAGACAGAGCTGTGTGGTTGAGATAATGTCCATAAAACGTGCAGGGCAGAATGAAACATTGTAAGGTTTCAATATATTTAAATATAACTATTGTCTCTGAAATAAAGCAACTTAAAGTAACCTCATTAATGGATTTATGTTCTTTCAGATTTCTGAGAATTCCTATTTGCTAAGTGAAAATTTACCAAGTGCCAGAATTCCAGTCCACCTGTCTCCTAACCAGAATCTTCTAGGTGCTGCATTAGTAGGGTAAGTTAAGAGCAACTAGAAGTGTTGTGTCTTCCACTTGCTTTCTTTTACCATTAAAATTTACAGAAAAGGGGGGGGGAGGGAGGGAAATGCATGGGACTATGGTGGTGGCACACGGGTGATTTGGTGATGGGAAACCCGCGGGGATTGCAATAGAGATGGAAAAAAAATGTGCAAAATGATGTAAAAATAAACTTTTGTAATAAAAAAAAAAGAAAGAAATTAGGCCTCTGAGTTGCTAACTCAGGGTAAGGATAAAGCAGGGTAACACCTGCTATGATGTTACTTTGTCAATAAATCTCTGGGTCTTTTCCTAAAAAAAAAAAAAAAAAAAAAAAAAAAAAAAAAAAAAAATTTACGGAAAATAATTTTTCGGACATTGTGTGGATAAATAGCTAAGATTTCTGCTTGAAATAAGATTTTATAAAGAACACAGATTTTAACTGCTCTTCACTATTTCTCTGATGTTTAGATGTTCTCACATCCAGTATTTATACTGGACTGTCTTCATTGTCTTGGTTTTTTGGTCATGGATTATTTTATTTTTGCAACAACCAGAAAAAGATGTCAGCATTTTCCCTTTATACAAATGCAGAAATTAAAATACAGAGAATTGAAGTCTTTTTCCTAAGGAATCACACTCCTAAGTGTGCGAGTCAGGATTTAAAAAGAAGCAGTCTAGTTTGAGAGTCTACACATTTCCTGTCTACACTGCTGCTCATAATCCCAACGGTCACAAAAATTACTCTCAATATTTTGATCCATTCCCTTACATCTGCTCATTCTATGCTGGTGGTTGCCAGATTCGTTGTCTTGTTGATGTAGATGAGAATGTTTCAGAATGCTAGAAGCTTTTACTTAGTTCAGCATTAATTATCTGGCATTAATTAGCTTCTCTTCCCTTTCTCTGACATTCTTTTTCCCTCTTTTTGATTAATTTTTGGCATTATCCACAGTTTATTGATACAGGTTGGGTAAAAATAAAGAAAACAATATAAATATGTAAAAGAAAATTTAACATTTACCAGAATCACCATGGATGAGTGCATGTTTGATCTGAGAGAGGATTGAAAGTGCCCAGGACAGAAAGACTCACTTGGTGAGGGTTTGTGTACTGCTGTGCCTGGGGAGACAGGAATCACAGAAGCTGGGACACCCGTCCTCAGGCCCTCCAGAGACAGGCCTTGCCTTCCAAGTTTCTCGTCATGCAAAAATACTTTTTTTTTTTAAGATTTATTTATTTATTCATACAGAACTGGGGTACAGGCCAGAGATGCAGAGGGTGAGAGGATTCACCAGAGACAGAGTGGGGAGCAGAACAGGCAGATCAATGAAGTACACTGCTGAGGGGAGCAGCGGGCTGGTCAGGAGAGGTCTGCCACGCCATGTGGATCTCCTCCTGGGCAGGCGGGAATCGAACTCATGCGGAAGTGGCTTAAGCTTCTTAGTGCTGTGCTTTAACCCGCTGCATCACCAGGGAGAGCCCGCAAAAATACTTTTAACATTGAAAAGAAGTCTTTGGGAGGAAAAAGCAAACTAAACCAATATACACTCACATTTAACCGACAAGATAGGTTGCTTGGCTTTGCCCTCGAGACCCGAAGTTGCTAAAAGTATTAATCTCTCGGGCAAGAGAAGACCAGAGATTAGAAACTGGACCGACGGCGTGAAAAAGCCAAAAGATAAGAACTGGGCAGCCTGCCCACTTCAAACAATCAGCTCAGTGATGGGCATGAGAGCAGCGTGAGCAGGTTTGGGCTAGTCCTGGAGGAGCTGTATTTTGAATGTATCCCTGCGAGTACCTATCTCTCAATTTCTCCTTTGAATCGTGTTAACTTATGATGAATTCAGGTTCTCTGTAGGTATCTTTGTGCTTTACATAAACTTATAAACCACATGTATTTATGGCCTTACCATCAGATGGCTTTATCCATTTATTTAACATAGCAAATGCGTATATCTTTTCCTTAGATGTCAACCAAAAGAAGATAAGTATTCTTTTAAAAGCTGTAGTTCCGATTTCGTATTTGGAGAAAACATGGTGGAAAGAGTTTTGGTAAGATTTTGGTAAATGTTTCTATTATTCTCTAGTGTAGTCACTTCAAATTTCTGAAGACAAATTGATTAAAACAATGTTAAGTTGGAGCATACTTTTTAACCTCTGGTTCAAAGGCACATTTTCTGTCTTTAGCTAGAACGATTATTCTGGGATGCACATTCCAATTGTTAAAAGGATAGTAACCCACAGAGGGGCAGGAGTGTGTAATTCCAGCATTATTACCAATGAGAAACACTAGGCAGTTCTTTGACTTGTGTCAAACCAAAGTTCCTAAGGAAATCCCAGAATTAACTGCAATAGTTCAACACAACAGGTAATATTTTACTGTAGTTTTTCAGTGACATTTTTTATTTAAAAAAGCATTTAAATACTTTCCAATCCTCATAGGGCCCACGTTAGCATTTGACTCAGTTTAGTAAGCATATAAAGCATTGGCATTTATACAAAACATTGCTCTCAAATTTGACTATATATTAGCATCCTCTGGAGAGCCTTTAGAGGCTTTCTAGTGCCCACATATCTCTCTAACCCAATTAAACCAGAATTTCTGTGGGTGAAACCAGTTCTCAAGTGCTTCCAATGTGCAGCTAGGCTTGAAAAATGCCTGGGTAAGTGTTATGCCAAGCTGAAGATGACTCTGGGCCTGCAAGTGCTTTTAATCTAGAAAGGGGCTGGTAACTGTACAAAAGAATAGTCAAGACTATAAATTTGGTTTGCAGAGACCCTTGTGTATAATTTCCATAAGTACTTTAAATCTGGCTTACCAAGTAAACTGAGTTACTATCGCTATTCCTCAATAATATCCTAAGGATAACAGGAGATAAAGAAATAACTTGTTTTTGTCCTCTAGTTAATCCTCTAAACGATCCTGTGGCCTTGAGATTTGGGAGCCAGGAATGCCTCCGTATTTGTTAGCTGACCATAGACTCTTAAGAGTAAATCATTAAACTTTCTGTGTATTAGTTTCTATTTTTACAAAAAGGAAGTAGTTACACCTTTCTCTATCCAGTTGAACAATAGCTCAGTTAAATAATCTTAAAGTATTTTGAGGTTATAAAAAAAAAAACCTACAAAGCTAAATTATGAGTGGCATTCTAATTCTCCCTGTTCTCCAGAGAGCTATACTGTGTCATCCACTGCTGAGGAATCGCTGTCTTTACACATGCAGGGCTCAGTTACATCACTTGTGCCAAGTCCGACATGTACAGCCTGAAAAAAAATGATCATTAGCAAAAATTGTTCATGGGAAAAGTCAGAATTCTTTCTATACAGATCTCTGAAATAGCCAGCAGTTTCTCTGGTTAATTTTTAAATTTTTTTAGTGAAGTAGAGTGAAGTGCTGGGAAGACTAAATATCTTAAAAATAGAGACAATAATGCACCCCCTTTTGTGGGAGCACTGAACAGCCGCCAACTCCGTTGGGGCCCCCAGAATTTCTGCCAATGTCACCATAACTAGACCCACCTGAAGCAGACTGGCCATAACTACGTGATGTTTTCTGAAACACAGAGCAAGGTTCCTGAAAGAGAAGAGTTGCCTGATCAGGTCATCTGGAGCCCAAAACTAAAACATAGCAGCTGGTTTGTTTGTCATGTTGAAATAGAACAAAGGTATCTTTTGGCTTACTTACTGCAAATATTTAGGTATAAAATGAGCTAATACATCTTTGCCCCCCACCTAGGGTACTCAAAAACTCACCCAACCTCACTTTGCAAATGATGTGAACACCAAGGAAAAGCCGTTCAAATTCACTCTAAAATTTCCTATGGATGCTCCAAACTCAAGTAAGAATTCTTTCCTTAGTAAAATATCTGATTCAATTAGTTTATTTCCTGTTTTCCCATGTCACTTGTTTAATACTCGTTTAACATCTGTAAACCACAAAAACAGCCCACTGTTTACATTTTTCTCTGGTAATGATTAAAGCATGTGGCTTTAAAGAAATGTGGCTATATGATATGTAAACTTTTCAAAAAATTTTGACTAATGATACAGGGAATCAGTAAAGAGACTTATTTGAATTTAAATATTTTATTTCAGGAGCAACACTGTTATCAAATGCTAAGGAAACATATATAGTAGGGGCAAAAAAAGAACTTTCCTGGCAGAGAAATGTGGCTTTTTATCTGTTTTTCCTCTTATTTTCTCTTAGGAACAGATTCTATTAAAAATATAACCCTGATTGAATCGGCTGCTGCTTTCTCTTCTAAACCATCATCAAAATACTTGCTGGAGAAAATTGAGGCTATAACAGGGGAGGAGGCAGAACATAATGTGCTACAGGTGAGTGTCTCCTGTGTCACTCTCCCAGGTAGCACACACCTAGTGTAAAGTACCATCATCTGGGACATCTCTAAAATAAATACAGGAGTTTAGTTTTCATGAAAGCTAATAGGCTTCAATAAAAATATTAGAAATTTCCAAAGATTAATTCAGTGTTCTGTGGTGTCCTTACACATGTATGGATAATTTGCAAAAAGTGGGCTGTTGGTTTTGCACCACTCACATTAGTCCCATAAAAGAAGACAGCCATGGGATCTCTTTTTTAATATTTATTTTCATTATTTTATGTAATTTTTACATCATTCTTCATTTTTATCCAGGCTTTATCATCTTGGGCGTAACTCCCATGAAATCCCCACTACCAGTTCACCTGTGCACCATCACCATGGTCCCTTGTGCTCTTCCCACCCCTATTTTGATCCTACTCCCCCCTCCCCACTGCAGAGTATCTCTGGTTCATAGTTGCCTATTGATTTGGTTTTTACTTTATTATAATTACCTTCCCTCCCCAATCCCTTATTTGGATCCCCTACATTCCTACTATAAGTGAAACCATCCAGTATTTTTCTCTTTCTTTCTGACATTTCATTGATCATGACCTTTTCCAGCTCTATCCCATGTTTCTGTGAATGGCATGAGTTTATCTTTTTTGATTGCTGAGTAATATTCCATTGTATACATATACCACATCTTCTTGACCCAGCCATCTATTTTTGGGTATTTGGGTTATTTCCATATCTTACCTATTGTAAATAGTGCTGCAGCAAACAGAGTTGTAGCTGTCCTTTTGAATTAATGTTTTTATATCCTTTGGACAGATCACTAGGAGTAGAATTGCTGGATCACATAGAAGTTCCTTTTTAGAAGTTTGAGGAACCTCCACACAGGTTTCCCTACTGGGTGGAACAGTTTTCATTCCCACCAGCGGTGTAGGAGAGTTCCTTTTTCTCCACATCTTCTTCAACATTTGTTGTTGCTAGTTTTTTTTTTTTTTTAAATATATACCATTCTCACTAGTGTAAGATGGTAGTATCTCATTGAGGTTTTGATTTGCATTTCCCCCGATTACAAGTGATGTTGTTTTTACAAATGCCTGTTGGCCATTTGCATTTCCTATTTGGAGAAATGTCTTTTTAGCTCTTCTACCCATTTTTGACTGGGTTGTTTACTTCGTTTTGTTGAGTTCCATGAGCTCTTTGTAGATCTTTGTGATCAGTCTCTTATCATTTGTATTGTGTGAAAGAAATTTCACCCAATTAATAGGGTGTCTCTTTGTTTTGGTTAATGTCTCTTTTGCTGTACAGAAGCTCTTTAATTTGTTGTAATCCCAGCTGTTTATCTTTTTCTTCACTATTTTTGCTTTAGTGATGTGTCTTTGAAGATGCTACTAAGGTGTATGTTATGTATTGTTTCATCTATATTTTCTTCTATATATCTTATTGTTTCAAGTCTTATGTCTAGTTCTTTAATCCATTTTTAGTTGGTTTTTGTGTGTGGTGTGACACAGTAGTCTAGCTTCATTCTTTTGCATGTAGCAGCCCAGTTTTTCCAGCACCATTTGTTGAACAAACTTTCTTTGTTCCATTGCATATTCTTTGCTCCTTTGTCCAAGATTAGTTGTCTGTAAATCTGTGGGTTTATTTCTGGGTTTTCTATTTGATTCATGGACTCTAACTTAAACAGACAAAAATTTCACACCTTTATTTTATACCTTGCATGCCTACTTTTTACTTAGTGTTACATGAGTTTTGAAATTCTGTGTGCACTGAAGATTTTTAAACCCTGGTAAGATGAATTGATTTCAGTTCAAGATAATAAAAAGAATGTTGTTCTCCTTGCAAAACTTGTTAAACTTCACAGATTTATAGCATCCTGCCTATGATTTAAATGTTGACTGGGATAGCGTTCAACCTGACATATGAAAAGTAATTACAGCTTAATTATTTCCAACAAAGGCATGGATTTCCCTTTGCCTTTCTGCAGTTGCTTCCCCCCAAACTCTCCATTCTTCTTTTCCCTCCATACTTTGTCTCAAAATTACATGTGACTCTTAGATCAGATTAGCTCTAGATTTATTGTAATTATTAGGGGTGAAGGTCTGGTGTACTATACTTTTAACATCTTTTAGGTGATTCTTATACACAGTAATATTTCAGAACCACTAGTGAGCATTAAATTATAATAGGATACTCTGTGGAATCTTATCCTAGTTTTCAGCCAAATCTTTTGGAAGTTTAAATATAACTCTTTTATGATTCCCTCTTTTTCAAATAAATAACTCAAACAATATTAAGTTTAATTTAAAAGTTTACCCATACAGATATATGGTTAGATAAAAAGGCAAGCTACAGAAAGTATTATGATATTCTACTGATTATATAAAACAGGGGACCACATATATTGACATGCATATACATACCAAACTCCCTGGAATGATAAAACATTAACAGCAGCTGCATTTGGCAAAAATTAGTAAAGGGGGAGGGGGGGCACTTTTTTTTTAAGATTATTTAAATATTTATTCATACAGAACTGGGGTACAAGCCAGAGGTGCAGGGGCCATGAGAGGCTTCACCAGAGACAGAGTGGGGAGCAGAACAGGCAGATCAATGAAGTACACTGCTGAGGGGCGCAGCGGCCTGGTCAGGAGAGGTCTGCTGTGCCATGTAGGTCAGATCCGGGGCAGGGGATTGAGCTCACACTGAAGAGGCTGCAGCCAGCTTGCAGTGCTGCGTTCTAACCCTTTGCATCACCAGTGAGGGTCTGAGGGGGCCACTTTTTACAGTGTATATCTTTTCCTTTTTTATGATCAAATTATTCAAGATTTTTGTTTTTAAAAGTTAAATAAATGGTATAATTTGGTTTCTAAATCACAAACAAAGGTTATTCTAGTAAATCAGACAAAAGTGTTAAGAGTATTGGAAAGAATTTCTTTGAAAGAAATTTGATGATCTACTTGACATTTTAAAAACTGTCGTTTAGATCAACTGCAAGCTTTTTATATTCAACAAATCAACACAGTCTTGGATTGAAAGAGGCAGAGGAGCTTTGAGGCTGAACGACACAGCAAGCAGTGACTGTGGGACATTCCAGTCAAGACTAAGTAAGTGACTGTTTTGTAAAGGAAACCATTATTGCTCAGGTCAACGTTTCCAATATAGATCCTATCATCTTCTGGAGATGTGCGATGAAATCTATAAAACAGACTACTGAACACAATATTGTTCTGAAGTACTTACTGTAGGAGCTTCTTGTTTATAGCAGCCTCTGCTGTCAGACTACACAGTTATGGCTCCATCCTTAACTGGTGACTTTGAACAAGTTACTTAATCTCTGTCCCAGATGTTAGTTTAAATGGATCAAGAGTATTCCATGACTTACTGAGTGAGTACATAAATGATGTGATAATGCAGAGCCCAGCACATTCCTAAACAGTGCTCTTATTGTTATGTAAAGAATTATGAATCAGGATTCCTATTATTTAAAAGTATATAATGCAAAATATTTTTGAAGTGAAAATAGTTTTTTCTAAAAGATAATATTTGCTTCACAATTATCCTTGGCTTCCTAAACATGGTGTGTGGGTTGGGGTGAAAGTTCAATTTTCAAGGAGAAAAAGATGTGAAATTATTAATTCCTGCCTGCAAAGTGATGGTTAGAAACCTGGAGTCAGTGAAACTGAGAGGCCCAGGAAGGTTTAGATGTCCAAAGAGACACACAGGGCATTGTTCAGAGGCCCACACTGGAAGTGAGCACAGGCAGAGAGCTGAGAAAGAAGGATGGATCAATACTAGGCACTCAAAGCTTGGTGGAGATCACAGGTAGAAAGTTGGACCCAGGTATATGAGTGTTTGTAGAATTTTAGGTATCAAGCTCAAGAAACAGGTCAGGAATAGAATTCAAACTAAGAGAATAGGAACAGTGTTTTCAGTTCTGCAACTGACAAACAGGTTTCTAAATAAACCAATCAAGTGCTCTTAGTCCTAAGACATGGGCTTGGAAATTGTTGTTTTCTACTGACTTAATTCCTCTCCTTCCATCTCCTGCCCCACTCCCAATACTCACAACTTTCTTTTTATTATATAGATAATATATGCTTACTGTAAAAGAGAAATATATGGATGAACAACAACAAAAAAATTGAACTCACTCATGAGCTTATCTGCCTGCGATAGACTTTGTTAACAGAAAGTATTTTCTGCACTTTCTCTGAAGATATAAATGTATACCTTTATAGTAAAATTTGTGGTTTGTAGTATTTACATTGCTTTATAAGCTGATTTTTGTTTCTTTTCCATAGAATATCTGTATATACATACACACACACACACATATAGATATATATACATATACACACATATATATGTGTATATATTATATATATATAGTTTCTTTTCATTGAGCACCTTTCCTCATTGATAAATATATTTCTTCAGTATTCTTAATAGGTTAATATGATTATCTTCAATAGTTACACCCTGGCTTATTTAAGTTCATTGTTTGAATGCTTGTGGTTTTTATTTCAGTATTTTACATTGTAAAACTTTATTGGGTCAATATTCTTCATATTTGAAAATTTTAACCTTTAAGATATTATAGCATAAAATTCACTCTGGCATGTAAGCCAAAAATGTCCTCTAGGATAATAAAGCCCAATTTGAAAACCAAATTTTAATGTGGTCAAATGATAAGTTAATAGTGAAAATGCAGTCTGACAAAAAGGGAAGGCTGAGGAATGCTGTTCTGTCTGATGTCTTGACCCTCCTGTTTTAGTTATGCGCAATCAAGGCAGCCTGAGGCTGATTCTAAATAGCAAGCTCTGGGCCCAAATGGAGATTCAAAGAGCAAACCATAAAAATTTACGAATAACAGCTACTGACTTAGAAGATTGTATCATCAAAGTGTTTTTAATCCAGGTAAGTGATACATTTCAGTAGCAGAGGGTGACCTTAATGTATTTATCAATCTCTGCAGTAGTTAATTAGTTGGGCTTTTTTTCCCCCCATTTCATTGTAATATCCTGAACCACTGGTAAAATATCAGCCATTCACTATGATTGTTTATAGTCTAAAACAAACCCTAAATTTTGAATGAAATTTAGAACTTTCCACCAAAACCTGTAGTAATCATTGGGACTCTCTTCCCAAGATGTTGCCTTCATAGATAACTTCATACCTCTACATTTTTCTTTGCTATTGAAATTATGTCAATAATCTTACTAAATTGCTTTAGAGTCTATTGTCAGAATTGGCTCCTAGGAGACCTACAGAATACACAAACTGATGCTTATCCTGAATGCTGAAATTGAACAGGCTTTCAGATCACTGGAAAGGAACCAGTGAAAAATGGAAAAATACAGGGCTAGCAAGTTAAAATAACCCTTCCAACAGTAAATTCCAATTCTGGACATGAGTCAATCTCCAAGGTAACAGAACAGGAGCACGGCCTTAGCTGTTCCCGGCAACAGCAATCCTTGACCTCAAATACAAGATCCATGCACAAGAAAAAAAGCTGGCAAGAATAATGCCTTAAGAGTAAGTCCTGGATTTCCCCTAAGGGCTGAGACCCACAGACAGGAGAAAGCCAAGTACCCAAATGATTCTGGCAAAAGAAGGCCATACAAGTAAATGAAATCCTATAAAGTAAGGGGGAAAAAAATTGGCAAGTGCCCAGTGATGAAAAGCCAAAGTTTTTATTAACTACCAGTTAATATTCTGTTAGGTGAAAGTGATCCTGAATATTAAGTACATCGAATGAGATGATGCCCAAACCCTGTTTACTATGTAGTGAGATAATTCTTGATACCCTGCCAGTCTGGAACCCTCCTCCTCACTCAGATTTCTGTGGGCAAAGCAGACAATGAGACTGAGCCTGAGACTGTTTACCAGGCTCAGGTTCTGCTTCCCAATAACTGATCCATGATGACTTCTTAAAATTATAGGGTATTTTTTAGAGTATGCAAACAAAATCTAATAAAAACCACCCAAAATTCCACCTGCAGAGGTGGTCTGTACTAGTTTTATATTTTAGTGTGTATGTGCGTCGTCATGTTACAGGGCAACCCATGTCATGTTACTGGGCTGCCTGTCTGTGGGTCCTCACCCATGCACTTAAAATTCAGTTGTACTGCAGACACACACAAAAGGGTCAATAATGGGTTTATTTACAAAAGGGGAGAGGAAAAGTAACAACCTAGGGAAAGAGAGAGAGATACAAGGAAACTAGAATATCTTACCAGCTTGGCTGACTTGCAACTCAGTAACAAACTAATAACCCCCAGTCACACAAGCCCAAGAGAGCCATTACCCGGGAGAGAGAGCCCTTGCCTGAAAGAGAGCTGTTGAAAAATGGCCCCCTTTTTATCCCCAAAGTCCCAGAATGCCTGCTTAGCTCTGCCCTTGGGTCCTTGCAGTTCTCTCCGTGGTATTGCTGGGAGTTGTAGTTTCCAATCACTGGAGTAGGGAGTGGAGTTCACAAAACTCTGCAGATTTCCTTTAGAACATCCTTTCCCCTTAACAATCATATGTACAATCCTATATATATCCTATACATACTGTATATACTGAATGACAGGCAAGTTATTTAATCTGCCTTAACCTCATTTTACTCACCTGTCAAAGGAAGATAACAATAGACTTTATAAAGCTGATAAGATAAAAGAACTGATACTTCGTTTTGAAATACACACATGTAACCTCCTTTTTGCCTATCAAAGAGAAAGTGTTTGCATATCATTAAATAATAATTTACTCTTCAAAAATTCTTTTAATAGGTGAAAATGATTCTATTTTATTATGGACCATAATTTATTCCATTAATCCAACTTTGTTAGACACATAGGCAATTTGCTATTCTTCATTATAAATTCTTCAAGGAGGGCTCTCCCTGGTGGTGCAATTGGTTAAAGCACCACATTATGAAGCTTTCTGCAGCCACTGCAGCATGAGTTCGATCCCCTGCCAGGGAGGTGACCCACATGGCATGCAGACCTCTCCTGACCCACCCACTGCTCCCTTCAGCAGTGTACTTTGTCAATCTGCCTGTTCCGCTCCTCAGTATATCTCTGGTGAATCTTCTCACCCACCACACTCTGGCCTGTACCCCAGTTTTGTAAGCATAAATAAATAAATCTTAAAAAATAAATTCTGCAAGGAAGAGGAAAAGATTCTTTGTGTACATACATGTTGATTTTCCTGGGAAAGGATTTTGACTCGTCTTGGTAAATCTCACTTCAGAGGACAGAATTTTCATTCACACCAGCATTTACTTAGTAATTCTTAGGAATTATAATTTTTATTATACTTTATGAATTTGTTATTCAAAAATCTAGTATTATGACTTTATGTTTAACTTCATGTTCTGAATTTCTTGAATGTAAACAATAGAATGAATTAGGCAAAAGGAAATACAGTGACTTGTGAAGGGCGCATTTAAAATTTAATGTTAGAAAGCTAAGATATCACAATAGCATTTATATTTTAATTAAATACTCTCATTGATTCAATAAATAAACCTTTGCACAAAATATAAAATTTTTCAAGAATCAACATTTACTAAGCAGCTATTCTGTAATATCTAACACAATCTAAGAAACAAAAAATGTTTTATTTGTAATTAGTTTTTCCTACAAAAACTTAAAAACATGCAGATGGGAATTGGAGGGGAATATGTTAAATGAAGGAAGTCAGAAGGAAAAAGACAGAGCTGGCAGAGCCTTACTTTTCTTTAAAAGAAACAGAAGTTTTCCCTACCCCAATCCTCTAATTTTGTACAGCACAAAATAGTGGAGGAAGGTTGAGTCTATACTTCAATCCAAATCCAGATTTTAAATCACCAAATTTCATTTTTTCAGTGTAAAATGCACAAATGAGGCCCTCATAAAATTATTCACTTTAGAATTTTATTTCCTTTGAGGTCCATTGACTGTATCCTTCAGTTTTTAGGGTTATCTACATTCTAGATTTATGTGATATTACAAGTCTGTAAAATAGGGTTATTATAAAGTTCTTCTTAACAATTTTTTCTAATCAGGCCAGTGCCAAAGACACAAGGTATTTGTATGCAGCCATACACCATCGCCTCGTTGCACTGAGAAGCTTTGACAAACAGAAAGATGGAGGTCATGTTGAAAGTCAGGCAGAAACAGTCCTCCAGCAATTAAACTGTGATAGCTGTGATGAGGATGAGGATGATTTTGTCCAAGTCACTAAAAACAGATCAGGTAAGTAATTTAAAAAAAAAATTTGGTCAGAGGTTTAAGAAATAAATCTAATACACAATCCTATTATATGAAATAGATATAAAAATTATTTATTTATGCATACAGAGCTGGGGTACAGACCAGAAGCAGTGAGGGGATTCACTAGAGACAGAGTGGGGAGCAGAACAGGCAGATAGCGGAAGTACATTGCCTAGGGAACAGTGGGAAAGACAGGAGAGGTCTGCTGTGCCATGTGGGTCTCCTCCAGGGCTGGGGATTAAATTCACACTGAAGTTGCTGGGGTTAGCTTGCAGTGCTGCATCCTGACCCACTGCACCACCAGGGAGAGCCCTGAAATAGATTTTTAAAAGTGAAGTGATCTGTTTATGGTGGGTAGTGGTGTTGGCTTGTTGTTTGGCTCTCATGACTCAGCTGAAAAATCAGCCTCAAATATATGGCTTTCAATGGTATTTTACCAAAAGTCAGCTTTATTGTGTTACCTGTATTCAAGTGTACCGAATTTCATGGAAGCTTCTGTTTACAATGCAGAGTATCACATGGCTACCCTGAAACTTACCATTTATTTCTCTTTTAACTTGTCATTTTCCCATCACTGACTCTAATGGAAGAATTATAAATACATGTAATAGAGAAACCAGTTATATCTATCTTGAAACACTAGAAATTGTTTATTCCCTTTTTTGGAGTTTTATTGCTTCATTTTCAAGAACCTTGTTTGTCTGGAACAAAAAGTACCATTTTGTTTATTGTGTCCGGATTTGTGAAGTGAACAAACTTGAAGTGGAACATATTTGAATGGTTAAGGAGCAGTTGACAGAGTTTAAAGTTTCAGGGCTTGTTCTGATGTGCGGATTTAAAACTAACGTTCATCATAATGACTGGAGAAAAACACTGTCAAGGAAATAAACAGTCAAGCTTTGTTACTACAGATGTAGCTATTCTAATAATCATCCAAGTATTCTCAGAAATAGCTTCACTTAGTCTTGATTTCTGTCCTATAGCAAATTGAGTAATATATACTTACTCTGTGTTAGTAAGCATTTTCCCAACTTTTAATCCTTTCATAGATATTAAATCTACTTTAGTCATATGTAATTTATCTAGAAAAGAACATGTACAGAATGTGAAGTATTTTCCTCACCCTAATACTAAAAATGTAATTAAGAGGAAAAAGCACAGAGCATACAGATCAGATTTGTAAACTGTTTGATGCAATGAAGTCAGAACATTCAATGAACTTGCTTTTTCTTTTGATTAAACAAGTGGTTTGTTGTTCTTTGAGATGTATGATATGTGCAAGTACAATTATTTTTTATATTTCTATGTTTATATGGACAACAATAAAGTGGAGACTATCAGAAAATGAATTGGTACTCATTAAAAAGGTAAACTACAAATAAGAATTAGAGGACACAATTAACAAACAAATGATATGTGTGTGTGTGTGTGTGTGTATGATATTTTAGGACATGGTAATATGTAATTATCTTAATGCAAAATGATAAACAATGGAAATAATATAAAGTAAATGCCAGTCACATATATTCCCTATCTCCTGTCATTCCTCTTGCCTGCTTCCCCCCAAACCTCCCCTCCCCACCCCAGCCTTTTCACTTACCTTTTCTAGGAGGTATTGCATAATATACTAAAATATTCAGGAAGCAATAAAATAAAAAGTCTAATTTTTAAAGCTTGGTTGTTAATGAATTAAGGAAGGGTTTAATTCCCTGAAAATGTCATTTTTAAAATTGGTAACATTTCCCGATGTTATTTATAAACTATAGAGTCCATGTACTTCATTTCCTCCCCAGTCAGCATATTCATGAGCATTCATGTGCAGTTTTATTACATGTACAAGAGTAAATGTAATATTGTTTAATACCATATTTTAAATTTATATCACAGATCCTTCTAGATGGACTCACAGACAATCCGTTGCCTGTTCTTGAGCACACCTACTGATAAAATGACAGCATCAACAAAAAGATTGACCACCTTACTGAAAATACAACCAACCTAGGTAAATAAGAAGATCCTATTCACTCCTTGAAGTGTTTTTATAGAAAAGCTCAAGAAATATAACTTGTTGCAATTAAAAGTTTTCTCTTATGTAAAGTTTTCTCTTATGTAGTCTCATAATTTTGAGGTCATACATTTTGATTATTGTGAAGAAAATGTACATTTAAAAAATACATGAATTTTGAAAGTTTAAAATTTACCATTTTTGATGAAGTTAATTTAGAAGAAGCTTTGATAACCAATTTGGACTATTCATCACATTGATGGATACAACAATTAAAATTATAAATTGTTAGATTTTAACATCTAAAATGCCTATTTTTTCGATCACATGTTGCCTGGCTATAAACAAATATTTTACAAAATTTCCAGAGTTATTTCTTTGAAAAGTGGCTATAACTGCATGACCACATTTCATTAAACCATGTTTCTCTTCTTAAAAATGTATATTTTCATTTAGTTTTGGATTTCCTAATACTTTAATATTCTGTATTCATGTAAATGCATTCCTTTAAAGAGAGTACTTGTTCTTAACTTGTATCCATTGCAACTTTTGGTCAGCACCCGAAAGTTGCTGAAAAAATAAACAAAATACAGCACCTATGTATTAAAATAGTGAGTACACAAAAAATAAAACATGCTAACTTGTTCTTTGCCTTGCTTATGGAATTAAATGGTCATTAATATTTATTCTAGTAGGCGTGACTATGTGGAAACCTATTTTAAAACAAACAGATACAGCCAAGTGAAATTTTTTCATCAGTGATGTTAAACTAATATCAACAATAAAGCAACAGAGTTTTGATGCTCCTCTTTTGAGATTTGTTTTAGAGATACTTCATGGGTAACACAAAAAAAATTAGTCTCAGCACTTACAGACATATTTCATCTTTAATTTTGACTGTGGTCCCTAAACAGCTTCCCTACCAGAGGTGCCTAGTACGACTGCCGTAACCAGACATGACAGACTAGGTGAATTAAACAACAGAAATTTATTCTCATATGGAGGGCCGGGAACTCCAAATCTAAAGTGCTGCCGGTGATGTTTTATTTTGTGGTCTCTTCTGGGCTGTACCCTCTCATGACCTCTAAGTTAGTGGGAGCAAGGGGAGAGAGAAGTTCCTCTGTCTCCTCTTCTAATGCACTAATGCTTTTAGACCAGGACCTGTCCCCTCCTAACCTCATCTAACCCTAGCTACCTCCTAACCTATCATCTCAAAATACCACCATATGGGTGGGTGGAGTTAGGGGGTTTAGCATATGAATTTGGTGGGGAACATAAACACACTGTCTGTAACAATGAGATAGGAACCACAGTTTCAAAATGATTTCTGAAAATGTTTGAACAACATATCTGGAATAATGGGATAACTTCACAAAATGCTACTTTGAAGAACAATATTCATTTGGATATATACATGTGAATATGCATTTTTAAGTTACATTATTATTGTACCTTTTATAGTAATAAGCAAGCTATGTATTTGTACTTGTTGCCAGATCTGAGCTCATCCCTAAAAGTTTAGTTTTGTGTATAAAAGCTGAATTAGCTCTTTCAGATTATAATTTAATCATTATGTTAATTGTTCAAAGTTTTGCTCTTTCCCTATAATGAGTAACTGTAACTTAGTAGCTACTAAGAGGCGCCCATTCATTCTTCTGCTGACTATAGAAGAAATGTAATAAAATATATTTAATACTAAATTAAGCAACAATTCAGGAAATGCAGAGAGGAGCTAATGTGAAAGAGGACAGAAGGAAGAAGGGAAAGACAGAAGGAAAAAAGAAAAAGTGAGTTGGAATGTGAAAGGAAGAACCAAAAGAATGGAGGAACAGAGAAGCTTAGTTAGGTTTGTTTTTTTTTTTTAAAAAAACACAAAAAACCCAAGATTAACTCTGATGCAGAATACACTCAGTGGAAAATGTTCATCAGAAGATAATATTAAGCAGAAACATTTGAAAAGGATACTGAAGAACTGAGTCTCTTATAAGATTTTAGCTGATATGGGGGCACTGTGAGTCACTAAGTGGTTAAATTAATGAACAGAGAGATCTTTATCCTTGACTTGTTCATTCTTGCCCTCATGCTAGGGTGGAGAAACAATATTTTCCAATTCCTGCCTCAAACATTTTAATATAATTTAAATTCCTTCTTGACCTGTGATTTTTCTTGTACTTCTCTACATATTTATCATTTCATCACCAGTACTTAACAGGTGGTCTGAAGCCTACTCGAATATAAAATAACCTCCATTGACATGTCTTGTATGTGTAAGAGAGACTCAGGTATTATCCAATAAAATGTCACAAATAAGGATTTGTTGTTCAGGAGACAGTCTGGACTAAAGAGACTAGTAATAGTTAAAGTCAGGGAAAAGGGGTAATATTTGCCAGTAGATATACTTTGTAACAAGCATAAGGCTAGGCTAGACACGTGTACATATGTTTATTATTTTACAAGATAACTATTATATTTTATAAATGAAGAAGAAGGTTGAGAAAGGTTAAATGCCTAGTCCAAAGCTCACAAAGGTAATAAATGGAGAAGCTGGGATTTGAACCAAGGTCATTTTAAATCTAAAGCCCAAACTCTTTTCTTACACAGCAGTGGATAAACTCTTGCAGAAAACTGCAGGGGGGGGGAGGACTAAGGAGGGAGGGCCAAATAGGCTTGAAAGATGATCTACAAAGATGAGTTTAGGAAGGATCCAGAAGGTCACTGAGAGATAGGAACACGATTAAGTCCTGGATTGTTGGGAGTCAGAGTAAAATGTGTCAAGAGGAAATGAAAAACATTTCAAATACTGCAGAAATATCAAGTCATCTTAGGGATGAAAAATATCATTTGAATTTACAGTCAGATCTCTTGGTAATCTTGGAAATAACAATAATTAGTGAAGTAGTGGGAAGAAATTAGATTCCAACAGGTTGAGGAATAGAAGGCAGATTGACATGACAACGATGAACTCATTCTATATACTCTTAGCTGTCAAGAGAAGATAGGTAATACATAAAAAGCTAGGGCTTATAACTTTTTTTTTTAAAGTAAAGATATCATAGATTTGAGCATGAAGAATAAAATCCAGTACAGAGGTTGAATCAAATATATATTAAAGGGAGCAATATTTTCCAGGAGTTAGAAGGGGTTGGGATCCAAAAATAACAAAGGGATGAGGAGGATATTCCAACTGAAAAGATGTCAATGGACTGAGTTTGAAGCTTAGTACACTGGGAGAGATGCAAATGGGAAGAAGTCAGTATCACATATGCACAACTGAAGTCAGGGTTTGATTCAAACCAGGTTTTATCAATTTACCTTTTTTTTCAGTCAGTGGATCAATAGACATTCTCTTTTTCATCCACTCTTCAAGCCTCAGTATCACTGACTTCTCTCTTTTCACTTAATACTTAATGAATTATAAAGTATTAGAATAACAAAACTAGAAGGACCTTGAGGGTATTCTAGTTATAAATGAGTAACTCACCTTCCAAATAAATTAAGAGGTATGCATAAGTTTTCACTACAAATCACTATCAGTAGCCACTGTGTTGGCAAAGGTCCCAGTCAGAAGGGGGTCAATGACCTACTAACAGTAGACCTCTATCCGAATCTCTTGTGTATTTACTAGTCTAATATACCACCTGGGACATAGTAGGGACTCAACAAATATTTATTGAACCCATAAATGAATGTCAGTGATGGTGGCTGGTTGAAAGGCCAGAGTAACTGATTCAGAATCAATCTGGGCTAAGTGGAACCTTGGTATCACTTTGGTTCAGCTTCCTTCTTTTATAGATGAGGAATTTGAGGCCCAGAAAGATGAAGTAACCTGCCCAAAGTCCAAAGCTAGTTACTGATAGTGCTGGAACTACAAAGAAGCAAAAAAGGGTGCCAAAGCAAATGGATCAGAGGGACAGGAAGGATAAACACTAGGATATGATTACCGTTTGATTCATTACAGTGTTTTCTTCCATTCCATGCCCCTGGCTCCAGCCCAGGTCATGGGTGTCTTTCCTACCAGCCCTCAAGACTCCCTTCCCCCTCTGCGCTCCCATCTGCTCAGCACTCCAAAGACAAATCAATAGTCATCAAACACTGCTTTCTCGACTCATTTGTTTCCAGCTAAAAGCCTTCAAAGGTTAACTACTACCTATTGGATAAAGTCCAATTTATAGTCTTAGCTCTTCATCTACTCTGTTCTATATACTTTTTCTGCCGATCTAGAAACACCCCCACTTGGCAAGAACAAACAGTGGATTCTGACGGCTGTCTACTTTTAATAGGTCATTGACCATACTTTTACCAGTATCCTGTGACTTGATCAAAGGTTACCAGGTTTCTCCTTCTGGACCAACAGCCTTGGTGATGGGCAGGCAGGGTAAGGACCCGTGTAGTCCCACATCAACTTTAGATGGCGCCGGCATTTGATGTGCAGCTCGCTCTCTCTCCACCTTGCAAGTTCTTGAGAGTTTCTGATAAAAAAGATCCCTCGTCTTCCTGTGCACACTGCTCCTGAGCTGGTCTCTTTTACACCCCTCGCCCAGCCATGGGTTTACCAGTCAATGGATGAACCAACAAAGGATCCAATTTTCTATCACTATCAATAAAAGGGTCTAGTTTTATGTGTGAAATGTGGTCTAGTGTTACGTGGTCTAGATTTCTGTGCTGTAGGGAGAAAAGCCCAGAACCCCACCGCACAGGTGCACAGCACCGACCTTCCCGCCAGGCACTCAAAGCCCCACCAGCAGCCCCAGCGCGAGCTCAGACCGGTTCCAGCTGGATTCCTCTGGCAGCTGGAATGCCAAATAGAATTCCAGCACTTCCCTCGGCGGCAGCCAATCCCCGACGCTCCTTGGGTCCCGAAATCGCAGGGGTCTCTGATTGGCTGGCAGAGTTGGCCTGGGGGCGGGCGGAGCGCGTACGTCAGGCTGTGGGCGGAGCCGGGGTTCGGCCCCTGCTGCGGCGAGCTGGCCACCGCGCAGGCGTGCTTGGGAACGGAGGCACAAACAAACGAAACTCATCACCGGGGCCTCCAGGCTGGCGGCGCCCGCCTTCCCCCAGCCAGGGCTCTCCCGCCTCCCCGCCGCTCCGCCTTCCCCGCCCCCGTCAACGTCTGGGCACGTCCCCCTCGCGGCGCGAGCCACGCACCGCGGTGCACTTAACCTCTGCCCGCCCGGCGCTAAGTTACAGGCTGGGGCGTCGCGGGCGGCTCGCACTCCTGGCGGCGGGGAGCGGAGGCAGGACCCGGGCCTGCAGCCCTGGCCGGGCGGACGATGACTTGCTACCGAGGCTTCCTGCTGGGCAGCTGTCGACGCGTGGCGGGCGGCCGGGCGGCGGCGCTGAGGGGGCCGGGTGCAGCCGGTCCTTGTCCTCCTTGTCCTTGGCCGCGTCCTTCTTCTTGAAGCGCCGCCGCCGCCGCAGGAAGCTGCCGTTCTCGAACATGTTGTAGGAGTCCGGGTCCAGCGTCCAGTAGCTGCCCTTGCCCGGCTTCTTGTCGTCGCGCGGCACCTTGACGAAGCACTCGTTGAGCGACAGGTTGTGGCGGATGGAGTTCTGCCAGCCCTGC